ATTACTGCCACCTATCTCTCAAATGGACCATTGACACTCCTAATTGAGATTGTAGATAGTGTCAATGGTCCACTTGAGAGATAGGTGGCGGCAATGCACTTATAAGTCTGCGATCCGCCGTAAAGCAAGAAGAAGAAGAAGAAGATGCCTCAAGCGCAGGCTGAAGAAGACGCGAGCGCACTCAGGACAGTTCAGACATCGCAGTGCATCAGAGGTAAAAAAACTATATAAATACTGTTCAGTTTCTTGCACAGACCGATCGTTTCGTGTCTTAAGACCTCAATGTATCGTCACGAGCCGCAGGCTTTGATTTGGTTTTGTTTGTGTATGTTTTTTTTTTACTCTCAAAGCCGTGATTCCCATTCACCTCCATTATAAGACTGACAGACTGCAACGGTTTGTGTTAAAAATCTTTGTTTGTGTTCTACTGAAGAAACAAAGTCACCTACATCTTGGATGCCCTGGGGGTAAGCAGATAAACATCAAATTTTCATTTTTGGGTGAACTATCCCTTTAAGATAGAAAAATAACATATATATTGTTTGAAATGTTATATAGATAATTTGAAAGGGACAAAGAAACTGCATAAAGTACATCACGTATGCTTGCTCTCCTGAAGATGCACACACGAGTTGCTGTTAATAATACTTAGAAGTTTTGTACACAGCAATGGAATATTGTAATATTACAATATTGTTAATTAGAGTTACTATAACTATTATTACAATAATAGAGCTGTATGTTTGTGTCCATAGGTTTATCAGAACATTTTGGGAAGCAGTCCTGTATCCAAACCCTACATGGCTCACCGCCTTCGAGGGCAAATTTGGGGTCTTGCGTACTGCCCCTTTGAAGATGTTCTGGGAATTGGACATGGAGAGGGCTTCACCAGCATGATTGTACCAGGTAAGACAGGAACACATGTTCACACAAAGGACATGTTCACTCCTTCGTACCAGGAGTCTACATATAGTCAGTTGTGTTTCTTGGATGATGGACAAATGAGCTCTGTTCCAAAACCCAGTGAGGTACCTGCATATACTGCAAGACCTGTTCACACTGCCAGTGAAACACAGCAACAAATATGATCCCATTTGAGACAAACGACATTGTCCATTGCTGTCAGGATGTAGCAAGATAGATAGATGTGCATATCAAGTGTTTATGAGAAGTGTGGGAGTATTATTGCACTTACTGAATGACATGGAGGCGCCCGCGCAATCCCTTGCATTTTTTCCTGCGGAAAGAACTTGGAATAGGTTACTCCGTCATTTTTGGTCATAAGAGTAGCCTAATAGGCTACATCATTCGTAAAAAAAAAAAACTATTTCTGCTTTTATTTATGTACACTCACAATAACAACAAAATGTTGAGCTTTTGTAAAATAGAGATAAATAAACAGGATGCGTTTTCTGCCAGTCTCTGTGAAATGGAGCGCGTCACAACAATGAACAGCTTACTTGCCTCACATAAAATAAATATATGAAAAAAAATATATCTTGAAATGTCTACTATTGAACGAACCAATAAAAAAAAAAATCTCTAATTATGTAGTCCTTATAAAAATGTGCATTTCCATTACTGTGAAGATGACGAGTCCGCGTCGGCATTCTGTAACTTCATCTTTGCAACCGACACTCACTGAAAGCACTAGTTTATTAATAAATAATTAAAATGTCTTCTTTTCCCCGGGCACATTCATAATCATTAATTTTGCCAGTGCTTTGTGGCAAGCTTTATGCGCGCGCTTGTGCACAGAATATAGGCTACACGCCTATATGCCTAAAGGATGGTTTAGTAGGTTATTATATTAATCAATTTAATATAAACGTGCGACTAGTTGACTAGAAAAATCTTTAGTCGGGGGCAGGCCTATTTGGCACAAGGAACTGATCCATTTTTTAAATAAAATGCTATGACATTATGAAAAGTGCGACTGCAAATCACGTCACGCTGCATTGCACGAGTTATGCATGCGTTATGAGTCAAATGCTTTTATTTCATTTTTTGGGGGTGCTATGATCTTTCTTTCCTGCTAGCCCCTCCCTAGCGCCGCCCATGTCTATGGTGTAGACAGCATCACTGATTATAATGAGTTCTATAGTCTTTTGTTGTGCCACTCGCGTCCGGTGTAGACACGGTGTAACATTGGTTTTGCTTGGTTTCACAGAACTAATCGTTGCGTATGTATATGTGGGGCGGAGCTATCAAAATAGGGGCGAGACCCTTTTGGGGTAGGGGCGTGTTTGTTTTGGTGATTTCAAATGTCAACATCGGCTACCAGAAATCGCTTACCCCACCTTTAATGCAAAGGAGCAGCATTCAGGATTTAAGTCTGTAAAGCATGTGTGATCTATCAGATAATCACGGTTTCTGTTTGTCTTGAATTGCAGCAGAAAGTCAAAAAATTCATAAAGTAAGGGCGTTAAATGTTGCTTGCATTGCTAAAAATGTATGTCTTTCTCAGTACTTTTCTTGATTTCCAATACAAACATTTAAACATTCTTAAATCAAATACTTTTACTTCAGATGCAAAATGAAGATATGAAGTCTTGTTTTCTGAGGAACTGGACAAAATTAAGTGAGTTTGTTTTAAAGACGAACGAACATGTCAATGGGGAATAAATACTTGTTTTTATTATTATTATTTTTATTTTTTTGTTTGTTGTTTATTTAGTTTTTGGAGCCCACTGTTTTTTTTTTTTTAATTTTGATCAATTTCACTGAAAAGCTATCGCCTTACTTTAGCCCGATTCACGACGGTTAGCTTATAATAATGTTTTCTAATTTGAGTGGTACAGGTAGGTTTTCGCGGGAAATTCGAGCATGCGCTGCGTCATTACCTCACTTCTGTAAACATAAAGAAGTTGTCCCGGCTACTAGGCTATCGCATGTGAGGATCCTGCAGGTGGCCGATCGTTTATAGCCTTTTCTCACAGCAGCCAGAATAATGAAATGTAT